TTATTATTATTATTATTATTATTATTATTATTATATTTTCTCGTTTATTGTTGTAAATTACATCTCGTCTGGTCTGTTTTACTCGCCTCATGGCTCCACCCACATTATTTCTCCTTTCTATTCATTTTTCACTTTGAGTGTGTGTGTTTTATTTCCACACCTGCCTAATGAGTCTCACTCTATTGATCTGTGAAGGTCTGCGCCGTTTTATTACCAGATACCTGATGCTAATAATCCTCACTCACTGGGAGTTTTAGTCTCCAACTCATTGGGGACAGATGGCTGACTTGCTGTTGGCAGTGATGTTCGTTCCCACAAAAAGCAAATGAGGAAGAAGGGAAGAGAAAAATCATGAAGATGAAGTGGGGGTGGGGGGAGGAGGCTGTTGAGAAAATCAGAACAAGAGAAGCACGAGGCGCATTGATCGACCTGTCTACTTCACACCTCGAGGTAATGAGAGATGGAGAGATACAAAGACGTTTTTTGTGTGTCTTCTGTAGTGAAACAAGTTGTAAAAAAATCGTGATGCTCATCTCTTCTATAAATAAACGTATTTGTGCTGTAGGCTATGGGAGGTGAGTCATGGGCCTGGGAGAACATCGCCTTCTCTCTCCTCATCCTCACTTTCTACTTCGTTTTTCTTTTCTGTCTATCTGATCGCTTGTCAAAAGCTTTGGTAACCTTTGTCCATCTGGCGTGATTGTGCTATTTGTGTCTATTTAATCATAGCTAAAGCTTGATGTGGTATTAGAGTCTGACTGACAGAAGGAAGGAGTAAAAGCCCGACACAAGCAGAGGATGTTCACCTCTCTCAGGTAGCAGGAGATTCCTCTCAGGGCCGTGCTCATGGCTGTGGGCGAAGGCAGCTGCAGGCAGAGCAAACACAAAAGAAGAGACAGGGATAAACGTCAGGCACAGATGAGAGACATAAAAACAACAGAGTGTTGAAAAGATGGCGACAGATCTATCAATCTGAAGGGGAAGGCAGTTTTTAAAGTTACGTGGTTTTCAGGATGTCTGAGGGGGTTTTAGTGTTTGATGGCAGCCTCAGAGGGATAATCTAATACCAGCAGTGCTTTCCATCACATGAAGAACAAAAAACCCTCCCCAGAAACCTCCCACTTCTCTCTCCCTCTGCTCCCCTCCCACCGCTGCTTTTATTGTTTTTAATCCATTTGTTTCTCATCTCTCTCGCTGCCTATCGACACTCTGTCACCCCCCTTCGCCTTGCACTCTTTCTCCTCGCCTTTCATTTTTCTGATCTCTCAGCATTCGTAGTGAACATGTGACCTGTCTGACATTTAGCCTGCATGAAAAACTGATCACGGGTTTTAAAAGGTAGACATGAGTCTCTCTTTGTTTGCAATTGGAAGGAGGTATAAATCACTTCAATAAAGCAGCTTGGCACAGGTTTCATTCTCAGGTGTTCAACTCAAGGCTGTTTATTTCACTTGAACATTTTTCATGAATAGTTAATATCTTACCTGTTGCAGATGGCTCTTTGAATGGCCTCACTCTGGAGGGGGGAAGTTTAAATCTGACTAAATTGTCTTGCTGCTGTTTTAAAACTCTTAATAAAAAAAACTAATTTAATAGTGTTTACTTTTAAATCGCCMTCCATTTTTCCACTGCACAATCATTCTGACAAAAAAAAAAAGATCCAAAATTGCTGGTGGTGTGAAGTTTCATAATATTTTCGTGAACTGTTAAATGTTTAGGATTTGAGGAGTTTTAAAGTGGACATATCATGCAAGATCCACTTTATATACACTCACCGGCCACTTTATTAGGTACACCTGTCCAACTGCTCGTTAACACTTAATTTCTAATCAGCCAATCACATGGCGGCAACTC